TCTTTCAAGAAGCGTCTGAATGAGCGGACAGCTAGGAAACGGTTGTTTGTTGCCTTTCTCTTGTTTGTGCGCTGGCGGCTCCGGAGCGCTGGGAGAGGGGCAGCGAGCCCTGCAGAGTATCGCGTTGCAGCTGGGAGTACCATTCACCTGGTAACCCACACCTGCTGGCTTTCACCAGTCGACCAGTCTCACGCCTGTCTTTGTCAGGCGTAGTGTGAAACCCCTGTGAGCTCAGCTGGGGGCCGGGCTCAATCCCACGCTGCCCCCCTCGTGGCAGGCGGGCGCACCCCGGCTTGCAGCCCCTGCAGCAGGTGTCAGATATCACCTCCCGCACGTTCCAGCTGTGTTTACGGGGAACACCCGCCCTGCACCACGGAGCACTGCCGGGGAGGGAGGGAGGGGGACGTGTGCTCATTGTAATATGGCAGGGCTCAGCGGGGGGGACTCCAGTTCCTGGGGTGCAGTTTGAATGTTCTTCCCCTGAAACCGCTGCAGCAGTTTCCCTCTCCTCGCCCTGATCTGCAGCGTGCGTCCCGGGAGGGGTACACAGTGGATCCCCTCCTTAATGTGAAGCACTTTCTGATCTTCTGGCACGAAAGATGTTGGTTCATTGAAAGCAATTATTCTTACTGTAGTTAGAGCTATTGAAGTGCATCAGGATGTAGGAAAGAGTCACTGGGGGCCTGTATTTGAAGTTATCACCGTCAAAGCAAGGAACAGGAAGTCGAGATCCTAACTATTTGATGGTCATAGCCTACAGCCCATTTTAGGAAACTGATTTCGCCATGTTCAGACATTCTCTCCAGGTTAGTGGATGTGTTTTTTAGAAGAGTAGGAACGATTCACTTTGGAGCATGTGGATCTATAGGAAGAGGGATTTAGCCCTGGGCCTTTAATCTGTTTGATTTAGGAGGCAGGCGATCTCTCTTGTTGGCCTGTGTAGGTGTTATATTAGATCTTCGAATGCCTGGTAGCATTCTGGGGCTTTTCTGGTAGGGTCAGGACATAGACCTCTAAGATGCCTTATTTGTATGTTGTATGTGGTGTTGTGTTGTTTAGTGTGTATTATTGTCATTATTAATAAACATTTCTTTATCCCCGTTTGCCTGATTTATAACTCCTTCGCCAGAGTTTTGCCAATCTCAATCTCAAGTGCCTCTAATTAGACGCATCTTTACGATCTGGGGGTGAAGATTATTTTACTTTAATATTGACTATCCTGTTCTGTAATCTTAGTTGCTTAATCCCCTGTTTGTAACACTATTGTTACTTGAACTACATGTAGGAGTAAATTCCACACTGAAAGGTGGAAAGAATGCGATTCAACTGTGAGGCTCTCCACTCTTATCTCTAATTCTGTTCCACAACAAACACAGATTTTGCAAGTCACTTTAAATCTCCAGCTGAATTAGCCTGACACAGCTGTCCTAGGACTTCATAGCGTTGAGTGAGATCCAATAAATAAAAACATCCAGCTTTATTGCGACATCCTGAAACTTCCCTGTGTGACTCTTCTTATAAAAACACAGTACTGTATGTCCCGGCTGGGTGTGATTATTGATGCATGTATGTTGCAATACTGGCCATGCGGTGCAGTGGCTCTGTGGCGAAGGATCTGCGCCTGTGGCTGGAAGGTTGCCAGTTCAAATCCCATGGCCGGCAGAGGAATCCTACTCTGTTGGGCCCCTGAGCAAGGCCCTTAACCCCAACTGCTCCAGGGGCGCTGTATGGCTGACCCTGTGCTCTGACCCCAAGCTTCTCTCCCTGTCTGTGTCTCATGGAGAGCAAGCTGGGGTATGCGAAAAGACAAATCCCTAAAGCAAGAAATTGTATAGGGCCAATAAAGTGATCTGATCTCTGTTGTGATGCAAGAGACAGACAGGGCAGTCCCTCCCCTGTAATTCCCACTGTGTCCAGCAGGTGGCACTGTAAGTCCAGAACACCACCCACAGAGAGAGGCCTGATTTACCCTTAACCCTCCCCTCTCCTCGCACACCCCTGCTGCCTTCTCTCCAAAGCCAAGACTCCTCTTCTCAGGACACCTGCCAGCACGATAAAGCTCCAGCGACTCTCCAGGAGGATGACCACACAGTTTATGCTGGCTACACTGATGAAGACCACGTGTATTATTTCCTGCAGTTCAAGCAGGCTGCACAGGAACAGGTAAAGGTTTATTCCATGTTGAAAGGACAAGAAAAGAGACAGTGTTTCGGCTGTGGAGCTTTTCTTTTCCTTTCAGCATGAAGCAAACGTCTCCACGTATTGTCACTGCTTTACTCGACTTACAGGCGAACACTATTTCACTGGAGCAGCATGAAGTCTACTGAAGTACAGTATCTCGCTCAAGGGTGCAACAGCTGTGTCTCACCTGGGCTTTGAACCTGCAGCCCTCCAGGTTCCAGGCCAAGGCCCTGAGCAGGGAAATGACCACCCTGACGAGAGTGAGACCAGCGGACCCTGCAGCCGCTGACAGTGAGACTATCGCGCAGGCTGTAGGAATGTGGGGGTCAGCTGACTGCTGGACAGGCTGGGGAAGACTCAGGAAGCAGGGCGGCCAGTCCTGCTGGGAGTGTCTCAAGGGGAGGACACAGGACAGACAGCTTCTGCTCCTCAGTCACTGGTCGAGCTCTGTGTACAGTCCAGGAGCTACTTCGGAACCTTCGAAATAAAAGAAAAACCATCACAAATCAATTTCAGTTCAGCAGGATGGCCATTTGGGACTGAAATCACTCTGTACACCTGGGCTGTGTCTTTAATCCTGGTCCTTGGAGGACAGTAGGGTTTCATTTCAGCTTAGGTCTTAATGAGTTAAAACAGCTGCTGACTGCCTTAACAGGACCGGTTTAATAGCTTCCCCAGCTCTTCACGTACTGGAGCATTAGACACTCCCAGGACAGGGGCTGGGCACCCTTTACACTAAGAGTAGTGGGTGCGTGGAACGTGCTATCCGGTTGTGCAGTTGAAGCCGATTCCTCTGAGCTCTCAAAGGGAAAAGTTAACAATGAGCCTCACCAAGTATTCACTCCAGCCTTGCTGTTGCCCTGCAGCCAGACAGTACCCAGATCTTTGAGACGGTGCACTTAATAATAACAATAAATCCTTACTCTTATATAGAGCTTTTCTGGACACTCCACTCAAAAGCGCTTTACAGGTAATGGGGACTCCCTCCACCACCACCAGTGTGCAGCCCCACCTGGATGAGGCACCGGCAGCCATATTGCGCCAGAACGCTCACCACACATCAGCCATCAGTGGGGAGGAGAGCAGAGTAATGAAGCCAGTTCAGAGATGGGGATTATTAGGAGGCCAAGACTGGTAAAGGTCAAAGGGGCATTTGGCTTTTTGAGAAATGCCCTGGGATTTTTAATGACCACAGAGAGT